TAAAGTCACAGTTCTGCTGATCAGCTAGAAGTTGTTGGAATGGAAAAGGTATGGTGATGTGAAGAAGAATAGCCCAGTGCAGCAAATTGTTCATGACAGGCCCTGCTTCTCTTCCTTGCTTTTTATACCTTGAATATTTTCCTAAATCTGCTACATTTTGTTCTGCAAAAAGAGATAGAGATACTTGTCTCACAATAGTGTTGTCATGGTTGTTAAAACTGATGTGTCCAAATAGCAGTACAGTAGTTTTCTTTATCAGTGAAGTCCTTACTAATGTACAGATCAATATTTTATTGACATAGATTTGCACCTTATTGAAGTAGAACGTGTTTTTACCCACAACAATCTGGGTGAGTTCTTGGAGCATAGATGGCAAAAATTTCTCTAGCATTCCTGTGTTAGTATGGTGTCCTCAGCTGTATTTTACTTGGCTATGATTAATCTGTTTTTAGCTCTTTTCCTTAGCATTCAAATTTGCAGAGGTAGGTAAATTAGCTTTCCTGATAAAGGTTGAAAATGCCCTTTTGCAACTTCAAATATCTTCATAGTTGCAATGGAGTTCTTGTGACTAGCTGCCCTCAGTGTTTGAAAACTTAAATCCTGCCACAACTGAAATGCCTGTAGCCTTAAATACTACCACCAGTATTGCCTTGAAAATTGTGCTTGGTACATTTATGTAGATCAATCTTTCCTGAAAAGATTGCTGTCAAATTAAAATGCTTATAATAAACATAGTACTAAAGGTACTTAAGTTAGAGAAGCAGATGATGCATTTTTGTAGTGTTGTAGCTGAAATTATGACAGTTCACAATAAGGTATGAAACTTAACTACTTCTCAGTGTGCATTTTAATAGACTTACTTGCACGTGGAAGGATTTATTTTTTGTAAGATAGAAAGAACAAATAATAGAAACTGGACTTGCTGTGTATAAATAAATGGTCACAGAAAAAACTTGTATATTGCAAGCCAGACTGTGGCACATAGGACGTTGGAAAGGAGAACATTACACAAGGACAGTGTTTGACTTTAAAAAGTAATGGCAGTTCTGATATCTAGGGCTGATGTTTCAAAGTACTGTACCTTTCTCATGTTTAAGAATTCAGCCTAATTAGAGTGGAAGTATTTTCTTCAGCTGTTTATGATATTGAAATTTCAACCATGAAACTGGTTGAATAGGGAGGGAATGGTTATGGATTCACATGTGCATTCATGTTTTGCTCCCACAGCAAAAGAGGGAGTTTACTACAGCCTTGGAGTTGTAGTAACTTAACTCTTCTCCCATTGATTGTGCTGGAAGCAAAACTGATTATGGCAGAAGAAATTACTACTGAGGTAATAAAATAGGCAGAAAAAAATTTCCTCCTTACTTGTATTTTGTAGGACACAAGACAGAATAGAGGTTTTGGCATTGGAATACTCCACGAAGAGCCCAGGATTGTTTCTTTGGTGTACTTAAGAATTTAAACCATATAAGATCCAGGAATTGAACTCATTTTTACTTACACCTTTGTCTAACCCATAGATTTTTTTTGGACAGAATTGTTTAGTAAATAGATTGCCAGATACAGGAGTGATCGAACTGAGTCTGGATTTAAGACCACTTAGCACATTTATTGTTAAATTGGCATTTTAAATAGGAACCTTTTGTCTCATATTTCTAGTATGATGCGTGATTATGTTGCATGCAGCTGTGTTAGACAGTCTTTTATGTAGAATTACAAAGAACTCATAAAGCATACTAATTTGAACAATGTCATCAGTTTTAAAACAATGTGCCAGTTGATTTGTTTTTCTGCCAGATTAAAGTGGCCATGCACAGTTTGTTAGGCTTCTGTTTGTGGTCAAAATAGGGGCCAGTAGGAAATAGCAATCTCCCAGTAAGAAAGCTTTTTTGAAAAGGAACAGCCCCTTTTCTGTTATACATTGTTACAGAATTATTTTTTACCTATTTGAGCAACGTTGACAACTGGCATATTTCCTAAAAAACTGTACCTCATGAACAAGACTAATTTCAAATCTATGGAAGTTAATGTGCGGTAAGTAACCATAATAAAAGTGTATCAAGCTTTAGGCATAAGTGCTTTTTTTGCCAGCCTGTGATGTTTCATTCTGTAATATTTCCTTTTTTGCATTGTACTTCCTCTAGCGAATGTTGAATGTAAGCTACTGGCCAGCTGGGCCCTTTTATCTACTGACACT